CAAAAAAAGTTCTCAAAAGTTAACATATTGGAATGATTCTAAAAAAAATTATAGATATTTATATGAATTTTCATAAAACCTTACTTATTTGGGATACCAAAGAGAAATAACGCTATAATTTTGGCAAAACTTGTGTTTTTAAATACCTGGAGTTTAACAGAGAGATTATCAGATATGGTATCAAATTAACATCGAAAAGCCGACAGGTACTGTAGATTCCTTGATATAAACGAGGAATTAATTTCTGCGTAATTTCGCGAGAAGTATCACTCGCGAAAAAAATATTACTCGCTTTTATTTTTCTGGTGCTTAAATCTATGTAAAATCTGTTCATTAACCGTTCTTTCGTGAATTATAATTCTAGCGATTTGACGTTTGAGAGCCAGTTCGCGATAAAAAAACACTCGCGAAAAATAAGGAATTTACAGCTAGTAATTTTAATATTCTGATTTTCCTGAAAATGAACATAAATAAACTTTGAGATTTAAAAGAACAAAATTTCGATTTACTACAGACTTCCTTGTACAGTGCTTATACTGTATTTAGAATGCTCTTTTTTCAAATATCATTGACACTTAAGGTTACGAGTTATAAAAATAGATATATCTGAGTGGGAATGATAAACCTTAATTCAGCCAGTCTTTTCTTCGTTTTCCGTTTCTTGGTTTTCTTCAATCCATCAGTTTTTAGAAAGAAACACATCAAAGTAAGGGCACCGCAAAGCGGAGCATTCCTTCCCAAAAAAGCATGTTCAGTAAATCATTTGACATCGATCCCGATACAAATTACGTCAATTCCACACAGAAAAAACTAACATACACATAAAGTAATAACACACATAATCGCATCACTATATCCCATCATACGTTGCGAGGGGATAATACTGTTGTCTATTTCTAAAATATAAGTCTAATTCCTTTTGTTTCATGAAAATTTTTTCAAAGTGCGTTAAATGTCTACATGGTGTAAAATTATGATGTACAGTTTTAACGCACTTTGAAAAAAAATTTCAAAGTGCGTTGATTTGGTCCCAAATTCAACGCACTTTGAAAAATTTTTTCAAAGTGCGTTAACCTGGTCCCAAAACTTAACGCACTTTGAAAATTTTTTTTCAAAGTGCGTAATTTTTCAAAGTGCGTTGTAACAAAGCCATCTAATGATGTGAAATATTTTATTTTATATTCAGATTAAAATCAGGATGGAGGAGAGGACTGCCATTGACAGAATTATCATTGCAGGGTCCAATTGTGGTGAGAAACACATGCTTCATAGATTGATTAAGTTTGAGTAAGGTTTAAGAACAATAAAAAAAGAAAGTATGAAAATTGTTACATTTATTAAATATACTAGACTAGTATAATCATACATCTTTTATATTTGACTTATAAGTTTGTTCAAACTGGACGTTTGGTCGAAACTGTGACAAATGTACCTGTGTCAGGATGCACACAGAGTCCTGTGACAAAACTACCGGGACCTGTCGCTGTAAGGCTGGGTATACTGGGGACGCCTGTCAGTGTGAAGCTAATGGAAAACCCTGTCTCCATGGTAAATCTGATATTTCAAGCTATTTAAATTTCATTTTTTATTAAGCAAAATGTGTTCTTTTTCTTAAAAAAAGCTATTGATTAAAACTTTATTATGATATAGATAATAAAAATATATAATTATACACATGTTTGCTCTGCTGCTATTTTGTATTGTTTTATGGACTTTTGATTTTGAATAATGTTCGTTATCTCCGTATGTTTCATTGATGCTTTTACATTTTAAAGTGTTATTTATTTCGATAAACAGTCGTTTAAAATTGATTGGATTGACTGGAAAAAAGAGCTTTATTACATTAAATCCTCTTTATTTATCAGACGTAAGATTGGTGAATGGAAACACAACAAACATGGGCAGAGTGGAAGTGGTCACTGAAGGCATATGGTCCACAGTATGTGACGGAAACTGGGATGATAATGACGCAACAGTCGTCTGCAAACAACTAGGACTCGGAAAGTCAGTTTCATATTTTTTACAGGAATCAATATCATTTATTGAAGCAAGGGAAATATTTCATATTTCTCCCCTATGTTATAGCTACGGTATTGCAATGAATAATGCTGAATTTGGGAAAGGGGTTGGTCCTATCCATGTCGACAAGGTTGATTGTAAGGGAGATGAAGAGGATTTGTTATCATGTCAGTTTACTCGATCTTCATGTGACCACTCCGATGATGCTGGGGTAGTATGTGGTAAGTTATATGTTCTCTTTTAAACTTCTATCTTCTTTTTTATTATTACGAGGGTTGATCCAAAAGTAATGTCACAGTGTCCATTCCTTTTACATTTGGCGTCATATTATGAAATGCAATATACGAAAAGAAGCACAAATATAAATCTAATTTACAATGAAATAATAATTTAATAATGTTTACTTGAATTTATTTTATAGATGTTTAAAACATAGATTATGGGGTTGTCGCCGCGTCATAACGGAACGTCACGTTTTAAAGTGTATTTTTTCTTAGAATGAAAAGACAAACACATTAAACAGATTTTAAAAAAGGACCCACGTGTATTTATCTCCCAACTTTTTAAAAGACACAGATCTCATCATTTTCTAGTCTTTATTTGCAAATTAAATGACGGCATTGGTATTTGTTACTATAAACATTGTTGTTTTACTCGAGTTGTAACGCATTTCTGCTTCGAAACATGGGAATCATCACAAGCGACAGCTATGTCAATAAATCAGACAGAATAAATAATGTAAATAAGAGACATCTTAATAGATGGTTTCAGCGATTTTGGGCGGGTGATTGGTCTGTTACAACGCACTTTGAAAAATTACGCACTTTGAAAAAATTTTTCAAAGTGCGTTAAGATTTGGGACCAGGTTAACGCACTTTGAAAAATTTTTTCAAAGTGCGTTGAATTTGGGACCAAATCAACGCACTTTGAAATTTTTTTTCAAAGTGCGTTAAAACTGTACATCATAATTTTACACCATGTAGACATTTAACGCACTTTGAAAAAATTTTCATGAAACAAAAGGAATTAGACTTATATTTTAGAAATAGACAACAGTATTATCCCCTCGCAACGTATGATGGGATATAGTGATGCGATTATGTGTGTTATTACTTTATGTGTATGTTAGTTTTTTTCTGTGTGGAATTGACGTAATTTGTATCGGGATCGATGTCAAATGATTTACTGAACATGCTTTTTTGGGAAGGAATGCTCCGCTTTGCGGTGCCCTTACTTTGATGTGTCTCTTTCTAAAAACTGATGGATTGAAGAAAACCAAGAAACGGAAAACGAAGAAAAGACTGGCTGAATTAAGGTTTATCATTCCCACTCAGATATATCTATTTTTATAACTCGTAACCTTAAGTGTCAATGATATTTGAAAAAAGAGCATTCTAAATACAGTATAAGCACTGTACAAGGAAGTCTGTAGTAAATCGAAATTTTGTTCTTTTAAATCTCAAAGTTTATTTATGTTCATTTTCAGGAAAATCAGAATATTAAAATTACTAGCTGTAAATTCCTTATTTTTCGCGAGTGTTTTTTATCGCGAACTGGCTCTCAAACGTCAAATCGCTAGAATTATAATTCACGAAAGAACGGTTAATGAACAGATTTTACATAGATTTAAGCACCAGAAAAATAAAAGCGAGTAATATTTTTTTCGCGAGTGATACTTCTCGCGAAATTACACAGAAATTAATTCCTCGTTTATATCAAGGAATCTACAGTACCTGTCGGCTTTTCGATGTTAATTTGATACCATATCTGATAATCTCTCTGTTAAACTCCAGGTATTTAAAAACACAAGTTTTGCCAAAATTATAGCGTTATTTCTCTTTGGTATCCCAAATAAGTAAGGTTTTATGAAAATTCATATAAATATCTATAATTTTTTTAGAATCATTCCAATATGTTAACTTTTGAGAACTTTTTTTGACTAAGGGATAGGTGGAAGAACAATACTATCGTTTGTAGTTCTTTACGGCATTGAATGTTGACCTTTTGACCCCAAATTCAAAAGGGGTCTTCCTAAGGCCACAGGGATTCTGTTATGTTAAATTTCATTGCAAATGTTCAAAGGGTTGGCGAGATATCGTGTGGAAACGAAAGCGTAACAGAAAGACGGATGGACGGACAGCTAGACGGACGGACTGACAGATAGACCAACATTAATATCTCCCACTTTTCAAGCGGGGGACAAAAAGTATCAAATCAGGTTCAAATGATAATTTATCATACCTAAGATTTGTAGGAATATTGACTAAGCCATGCAGAATTTTTTTTCAAAGTGCGTTAATATGGTCGATATTAACGCACTTTGAAAAAAAAATTATTTTTTCAAAGTGCGTTAACCTGGTCCCAAAATTTAACGCACTTTGAAAATTTTTTTCAAAGTGCGTAATTTCTTCAAAGTGCGTTGCCACATTGGTCACTGAATGATCAGCAGAGGACAAAAAGACCGAAAGATAGGGGATCTGACGGAAACGTTCAATGGTGTATGACGTTGTCAAAAAAGACAAACGTATAGAGTGACATGTGAATTTTAAGTTTATCTTATGCTACAGTTCAAAAAAAAGTTTGACAGAGGGCTTATTTATGAAAAGAATCAGGGTATATTGCTACCAAGAATTCTTAAAGAAAGTGGAATTGGTGAAAGTGTTTACGAATCACAAATATTTTTTTTTATGAAACGAAGGGGAAACGCTTAAAAGTATGACGGTGCGTATCCGTCATATGACGTTATATTTAGGTGCGGCGACTACCACAAACGCACATTGTTTAAAATCCGATATTTTGGAAAGTATACGTCATATTCCTTTGAATTTTTCAGGTCTGATTTGAAATAAATAAAGCTTTCATCATGTATAATTTTGTTGCTTTATACGTCGATTTATAGCAATTTTATCAAAGTTGTGACATTTCTTTTGGATCAACCCTCGTATTTTGAAGTCATCTAAGAAAGACGATCAATTGAATGGTTTGTACAACTTCAGTTAATGTTTCGAGTATAATCCGCCTAAGAGATGGTACCGATCGGACAAATGGTCGTCTAGAGATCAAATTGGATGGAGGTGGATCTTGGGGTACAGTCTGTGACGACGGCTTCGGAGAATCGGATGCTAGAGTAGCCTGTCAACAGTTAGGTCTACCCACGTAAGAAAAAAATTATTTTCTCTAATTGGTCTTCAAAAGATAAACGGATGGATAGATATTTCATATAAGAAACATTTGAAAGATCTTAAGAGTTATCTCTATATTTGAGTGAAGAAAAGGTAAATTTTATTTGTTATGCAAACAAAGGTTTTGCCACGTCCATATTGAAAATAAAAATTTCTTGAATGCGATATATTAATTCTACCTCCCGTTTCTTAATATACGGACGGGACATATGAGTTCTACACCCATATATTATGAGCTAGCTGGGATGTATATTTAATTCTATATCAACATAATGATTTGTAATTGATGTATCCATTTTGCATCAACATTGAATAAAAAGATATTTCAATCTTTATCCTGGGTTGTTGGCAATGGAAAAAAATTATAATGTTTTTTTTTTTTTATATATATGTAGTCATAGAAGGGAATATGTACATATACTAAATATTCCAAAACACATTAATAAAGGACTCCAGTACATACATTTTAAACAGGTTAAGTGCATACAAAAACTTTTTCAGAATATCAAAAGATCTTCCTCTTTTCCTACCTCCTTCCTTCACTTTCAATGCTTTTTACTCACGTTGAATGTGACTCATCAGAGGGGCATGCTTACTCCTCCTTTGCACCTGATCCCAAAACTGGAATTTCAGGGGGTCCTTGTCCATTTTACATATCTGTATTGTTTTTCGGTTTTTAAAAGATCAATCACTTTATTATCTTCATTTTAGCTCACCTGAGCCAAAGGCTCAAGTGAGCTTTTCTGATCACAATTTGTCCGTTGTCTGTCGTTGTCGTCGTTGTCGTTGTTGTCGGCGTTGTCGTTGTCGTTGTTGTAAACTTTTCACATTTTCATCTTCTTCTCAAGAACCAATGGGCCAATTTCAACCAAACTTGCCATAAAGTATCCTTAGGTAAAGGGGATTCAGGTTTGTTCAAATGAAGGGCCATGTCCATTTTCAAGGGGAAATAATAAGGAATTAGTGAAAAAGTAATGGTGTATTTTAAAAATCTTCTTCTCAAGAACCACTTGGCCAAGAAAGATGAAACTTACAGTGAAGTACCCTCAGGTGGTGTAGATTCAAGTTTGTTCAAATCAAGACCCCTGGGGCAAGGGTGGTACCGTAATGGATGAGTAAATTTTACATAAGAATACATCAGAAAACCTTTAAAATTTAAAGATCTTCTTTCCCAGATCTCATAGGCAATAGAGCTGTGAGTAATTACATTATTGTGCAAGTAACTTTATGTAGTGTACATTCAATTTTGTCTAGTTTGTGGCCGTACGAAATTATACATGTATCAACAGATTAGGTTTACCTTTATTTTTTTTTTCGATCGGGCGCGGTGTACCAAATAAATGAAAACGAGGCACGTCGGCCATTTTTGATGTGGACGGCGAAGAAGTAGCTGATTTAGTGTTTACAGGGATCTGAAACAAAAGTATTCATTGCCGATTGTTGTTTTCATTCTGTAAGGTTTAAAGAGTAAAGGATTTAGTTGAATAATTACAACATTGCGTATATTTGTTCATGCAGCATTAATTTGTTATTATGCAGTGTTTAGACGCAACGATCATACTGCGCAGTTGAAGTCTCTCGGAGAAAAGTCACACGGAGAAAACAAGTCCATTTAGATACTGCTACACTTTACTAGTGTTAAAGAAGATTGAGAAGATGATCTATTTTTAAAATTTACTTAGTAGAACGAAGCGTAATAGTTAGTAATTGCATAACATAAATAGACGAATTTTACATTTTTTTTTTTACATTCTAAGAGTTTCTCCCTTTGTCGGCGTAACGCTCCTTTTCCCACTGTCTTTGTCCTTTGTAAGTTACTTTAATATTTTTAATCTTCAAACGTTATCAGACAATTTCGATCTGTACCTGTATTGCCAGAGTATGGGGTAACATGTAAATTATGAACATATTCATACAGATTTCATTACTAAGATACTGACCTATAAAGACTAAAGTTGGTAAGGTTATAGAGGGAAAACAGTATCTTACGCCGGTTGACCCTGGATAGTCCCATCAAAGGGGAATAAGTTTTGAAAGTGTGAAAGTCGTCTACAGGGACAACTCTTGCATATATAGGTACACCTGTCATGACTCATCAGTACATGTTTATAAAGGATAACTTATTGTTAGTAAAAGTATCAGTACAAGTGTTTATTGAAGTTTGCAGAAAGGAAACTCCTACATAAATCGTGATTTTGTGTCAATCGCGGAGACAAGGAATATCACCTGCACGGGTTCCTGACAATTGGCTAAAATAAAGCTTAGTAGTGTGTGCAAATGCTAAAAAAAAGACAACAGTAGAATAAAAGACTACAGATCTACATGCAGTTCATTATTGTTTTATGGGCATTTTTTATTAAAATAATTGAAAGTTGGAAATAATATTTTGTTAACTTTAAACAATATATCATGATTATTGGTATATTGAAACGGAATATGGGAATTAATATTTAAAAAAAATGCATTCAATGGGTATATTAATGATATTAGTCCCATATTTCATTAGAATGGCTACATGTATTTATTTCTTGGGATTACAAGGTTTAAAAGTAGTTATCCAGAAATAAGACTTGTATTTTTCATTAATATGTTTTACAGTGTGACCGTTTGGGCGAGTGCACTTGTACCTTAAAAAATACACCTGAAATGTTGATCTGCCACTTCAAACGTCAAGTCGCATTAGACATCTAGATTATTACGTCACTGAGAGATCGGCAGGGTTAACGGAAACAGCAAAGTGTCTAGTTGAGACTAATAGACCTAGTGCAATTTTTGTTGAAAGACATTGCAGAGTTATTTTTTGTTTCTTTTTAAGATTTCTACATACTGAAAGTCTTTTATGCCTTATGTTATTATTTATTTGCGCAAAGGGTATTGGGTAGCAAAGGAATTCTGGGAAGGTGTCACAACAAAATTTACTTGACATATGTACAGATTCCATTCCGAATTTCCTCTGTTCTTACACGTTAGCCTATTGAGTTCACTTTGCGACCTTTGCTGCGCTCGCTCCAATTACATTTACAGATTGTCTAGACTAAAAATGTTTTCTTTTGTATAGTAAAACCTTGCACTGGCTTGCAGTATTGTCCATTTTCTGTTATTAGTTTGACCCAATATTTAATCTTGGCGGCATAAAATTTAATCCAAAATTTAGTGTTCATTTAAGGCCTTGATATTGTTTCAACCATTTTTGACCTAGAAGGTTATCATATTTGACAGAGTTCAAGTATTCATAAAATGTTTTTCTTGCATTTATCAAGTTCCTTATATGTTTCTTAACTTTAATTGTGACCCATATGGGACCTGTAAATTTTAGCACACTCTTTATTCTAGCTCCATATGTTCAAAAGTTAAGACCAAGATTAAAGTATGGTATTTTTTTAGTAAAAAGTAGGTCAAACTCCAAGGTCAAGAGGTCAAATTCGGTGGTGCTCAAAGAAAGGTCTTGTCACAAGAAATACACCTGAAATGTGAAAGCCATAGTGTGTGAGGAGCCACTCAAAGGTTGTAGGCAAGGTTTAAGTTTTTGTGGACACAAAAACTATATATACTCCGAAAACTTACAGACTTAATGATGATAAAAGTGATGTAATTCAAAGGAATTGATTTTATTTCAAAAGATATTTCAAGGTATTAAATGCTACCAAATTATAACACATGTTATAGGAATATTTAGAGGAAATTGCTCTAAAAGGTTTTGACCAAAATAGCAAATATTAAGAATTCTGACTTCGTAATTTCTGAAATGAGTTATGAAGAATAAAGATGCATGTGATGGCATAACAGAAAAACTTGAAATGGCTTAAAGGGTTTGCTTTTATAATTTTAACTTCAGGCGAAATACAATACCAATGTACAAACAGTCCTCGATAAACATGATTAAAAAAAAGTTCTATAAAATTTTATGAAATACCACAATGGTTTATGGCACAAAAGCTATGCCAGTAAATGTCGTATACATTTTTATGGTACATATAATTTCTGGAAATGTGTGACACATGTTCAAGGTAAGTCTTGCGTGAAAATGGTTTACAAATTGCACATAACTTGCGTCTCTCTTAAAAACATTGATTGTATGTTATTTAACAACCCTCTGTATTTTTCACTCATATGAGACGCCACCACTTGCAGGTGGAGATCTACAAATTTTTCCTATACTTGGCACTTAGGGCCATTGAGCAGTGATGGATCTTTTTTATGCCAGCACTTACAGAGACACATGATCTCTGTTTATATGGTCTTGTCCAAAGGACCAGTCTCCACATCCCACAGTGGGATTCAAACCAGCGAACTAAGGATAAACTCCTTAGTTTGTGCATCTAGAGCAGACGCTCCTACCACTGCGCCACACGAGTGACCTCTTTAACTGAATGTTGTCATATGTTTTGGGTGTAATTTTGAAGTCAACTTTCAGGTTTTAAATTTTTTCAACATTCTGCTTTCTTAAATTTGATTTGTGCTACAAACTTAAAATAAGTATATAATTTTTAAAGTATCTGCATTTTACAGTGATGGCAGCATTATTAATTTGAGAATGTGTGCTAGTATCAAGTGTAGGCTATGCTGATCTTTATTATGTAGTATAGATTATAACATTGTTTTATTGTAGATCACAGAATGCCTAGGAAGAAGAGCCGGAAGAAGGCTGCTGTAAAGAAGAAAGCATGTAAGGCAGATGTGGGTGACAAGTACCCCACAGATGTTGGCCACGTCCAACCATCTGTGCCTCTGGGTGTAGGCCACGTCCTAACACCTTTGACATCTGTACCTACCACCCCCGTGACAGTGGTCTGCCTCTCCCTGAGACCACTTTGACTCAAACTATGCCTCTGGCTCAAACTATGCCTCAAATGTTGCCTCTGGCTCAAACTTTGCATCAAATGTCGCCTCCGGCTCAAACTATGCCTCAAATGTTGCCTTCGGCTCAAACGTTGCCTCAAAAGTTGCCTCAAATGTTGTCTCAAATGATTACTCAGAATTCCTCTCAGTTTCTTACTCAGAATATCTCTCAGATTACAACTCAGAATATTACTCCGTTTACAATGAACAATAAACCAAATGAAACAACACATGCACTGCAAGGTAATTGTATGCATCGGAATTCAGATAATCTGGTGTTTGGATCTTTCCATCAGGGAAGCATGAGGTTTTCATCATTTTCAAGAGGTAATCAGTGTACATGCAATTCACTTCTGAAGTTGTCAAATTCATATGAAAATTTTTCATTTACTAGTTTCTTTTTAGATCAGACTCTGCTCAAGGGAGATAATTTGTACAACACAGTTGTGAAGAATCTTCAGAGTGCTGGAAAACTTAAAAGTAGATTACTGATGTTTGATGAATTACCAATTCATATTGATTCTGGTGAAAATCACCACATGGTTGATAAGTATGATACATTGTTTGGCTTATTAGTTACAGATGATAAGAGAAATCAAATTCAAACTCTACATGAATGTCTGCAACAAGCATTGGGGTTATCTAGGTATGTATTAATAATGATTGGCTCAATATGTTCTGCACTGTACAAAGATTCAGACAATGATTTTTATTTCTTTTACTCGCATTCTCATGGGGAAAATGGTTTGTCTGAATGTGATGGAAAGTCTTTGATGAGACCGACACAGTTGCTGCTTAGATGATTTGTTAGGATTTCTGTATGCAATGTATGAAAGGATGCACATTGAATTTGCAACTGAATTTGAAGTGATGCCTGTTTCCTTTCGAACACTTATTCATAGCTTCCCTAGTAATAATCAAAGTACACATCAATATTGTAGATTAGATCAGTTAACAACAACTGCTCTCACAAACAAACAATCTGTTGGTACCAATACTGGTCACTTTAAAACAACAGTGATAAAGAAAGATAAAAAGGAATACATGAGAGAATATATGAGAAACAAGAGACAAGATCCAGAGTTCAAAGACAAGGAAAGGGACAGTATGAGAAACAAGAGACAAGATCCAAAGTTTAAAAGCAAGGAAATGGACAGTATGAGAAACAAGAGACAAGATCCAGAGTTTAAAAGCAAGGAAAGGAACAGTAAAAGAAACAAGAGACAAGATCCAGATTTTAAAGACAACGAAAGGGACTGTATGAGAAACAAACGACAAGATGCAGAGTTTAAAGAAAAAGAGAGGGACAGTAAGAGAAACAAGAGACAGGATCCAGGGTTTAAAGACAACGAAAGGGACTGTATGAGAAAAAAACGACAAGATGCAGAGTTAAAAGGAAAAGAGAGGGACAGTAGGAGAAACAAGAGACAAGATCCAGAGTTTAAAAGGAAGGAGAGGGACAGCAAAAGAAACAAGAGACAGGATCCAGAATTTAAAAGCAAGGAAAGGAACAGTAAAAGAAACAAGAGACAGGATCCAGAATTGAAAAGCAAGGAAAGGAACAGTAAAAGAAACAAGAGACAGAATCCAGAGTTTAAACACAACGAAAGGGACTGTATGAGAAACAAACAACAAGATGCAGAGTTTAAAGAAAAAGAGAGGGATTGTAAGAGAAACAAAAGACAAGATCCACAGTTTAAAGACAATGAAAGAGACCGTATGAGAAAAGAACGACAAGATGCAGAGTTTAAAGGAAAAGAGAGGGACAGTAAGAGAAACAAGAGACAAGATCCAGAGTTTAAAAGCAAGGAAAGGGACAGGAAGAGAAACAAGAGACAGGATCCAGAGTTTAAAGACAAGGAAAGGGACATTATGAGAAACAAGAGACAGGATCCAGAGTTTAAAGACAAGGGAAGAGACAGTAAGAGATATAAAAGGCAAGAAGAAGAGTATAGGCACGATGAGCAAATAAGAGATTTAAAGAAGAAAAAAGAAATAATTCTAGCCAGTTAGAAAAAGAGAAATTGAAGATGAAAGAAAAGAGAAAAAATGAAGAGTATAGATAATCAGAAAATACTGCTGCAAAACAATCAAAAGCACACTCACGGGGGCATTTGGACTATATTGAAACTGAAAAACAAAGATACAGAAAAAGTAAATTTGGAGTTGATGCAATTGAGTGTGTTGACAATTTTCACAACAATGTAAGATTGGGTCCTGTGTTTGTATGCACATGTTGCCAACAGAAATGGTTTCATGAAAGTGTTTCAAATGTAGATAATGTTTTGTTGGATGCTGAAATCAAAAGGAAGTATTTTACTAATACAAAGTCTGTAAACGGGCAGGAATGGATATGCAACACTTGCAATTCAAGTTTAAAAGAAAGTCGAACTCCAAAACTCTCTGTTACAAATGGAATGATATGGATTCAAAAACCAAATGAATTAAATCTGTTACCATTGGAAGAAAGACTTGTATCCTTAAGAATTCCCTTCATGCAGATAAGAGAATTATCAAGAGGAGGGCAATATTCTGTACAAGGAAATGTTTTAAATGTGCCAGTTGACATTCAACCAACAATCAATAATCTTCCCAGGAGACTTGATGAAAATATTACCATACCTGTGAAGTTAAAAAGAATTTTTTTCAGCACTCTTATTGTCATGAAAACATCCGACCTACAAAGGTTCTGATTGCTTTACATTGGTTATTGAAAAACAGTGAATATTATCAGAATTCAAACATAAACATAGGTGACAACTGGTTCCATGAGGTCACCAATTCTGCAAGTGAATTAATGAGAGAGTTTATAGAGGGTCATACGAATGAAGATTCAGCAATGCATGACCAATCAGATGAATCAGACTCGGATGAATTCTGTGAAGTTGATAGTGGTAAGGATGGAAATCGTGATATTCTACTAGACAGTGACTCATATGACATGAATCAGATCTTCACATTTGCTCCAGGAGAGAGAGGGACAGCGTCCAGTTAGTTTGTATCAAGATCAAATGGCCGAGTATTTGTCATTTCCAACAATATTTTGTGGTAAAGGAAGGGTAGAAAATGATCAGCGTCAAGTACCATTTTTATATGCTGATATTGCCAAGTGGGAATTACGAAGTGTTGATAGACGTGCTGCACAGTCGGTACCAAATTTGTTTTTCAAACTGAAAAAGATTCAACTAAAACAGGTAACAGACCAACAGACAAGGCAATTTAGCCCTTAGGAAGTGCAAAACAAAGGGGTAAACCTTTACTGCAAATGAAACTAGGGCTAATTGTAACGGAAACCGTTACAGATGTTCCCCAAACGCTCCCCAACTCCCTTTTGGTGCCTTATTCCATTTAAGTTTCATTAAATAAGACGAACTCTATGCCTTTTAGACTATTGCAATGTTTTCCCAGAAGTATATTAAGTATATTCAAATTTATGCATTGCACGCGTGCGCATTTGAATGCATATGCGTAATGACCATATTATCTTGTCTACACTATTTATATATTTTAACATACTAGAAATTATAGCATTTAATCCAAAAGTATTAAAAAATACGTTTAATCTAGTGTATTTGTAAGTTTACTCATTTCACGTGCACGCACGTGCATGCATGTGCATGATGACCATACCTTTTTGTAGGAGTCCCTTATATCTATCTATGTTCTAAATCCCATCCTGTTTGGTTGAAAACCAAGGGAGTTATAGCTATTTCAAGTTTCAGCCAATCAGATTGCAGCACATGTGCATGCGCGTGATTTCATGAATTATTTTCTATAACGTATTGTAGGAAATATTAATGCATGACAATGTTTTAAATTTCAAAGCATTTTGTCAAAAAACAAAGGAGATGTAGCCGTTTAAAGTTTCAGCCAATCAGATTGTAGCACACGTCCATGCGCATGATTTCTTGAATTTTTTTATATCATATTGCGGGATATCCTAATGCATGACTATGTTTTAAATGTCAAAGCATTTTGTCAAAAAATAAATGAGTTATAGCCATTTAAAGTTTCAGCCAATCAGATTGCAGTACACGTGCATGCACGTGATTTCATGAAATTTTTTCTATATCATATTGTAGGATATCCTAATGCATGACTATGTTTTAAATTTCAAAGGGTTTCGTCAAAAAACAAAAGAGATATTGAGATTTTAGTTTCAGCCAATCAGAGCGAAGCGCACGTGCACGCGCGTGAGTTCATGCTAATTTGACAGTGTCATTATATTAACACTATTAAAGCTGACATGAATTCTTAAAAACGCAACATTTTCATCTATGTCCGACTTGTTTCATACCAACTATAGCCGTATTCCGCCATATTTCTTTCAGATACCTTGTCTCATTGTAACGATGTATACCCCAATGCGCTCATTACACTTGAATGATTTTTTGGATTGGGTATCGACTTGTGCACATCTCCGATGGTAAAGCATATGAGAACACATGAGGTGATCAAGACATTTCAAAACCAAAATAAACAACATAATAATCATATTTTTGAACGATAATTGTTTTGAATAAAAAAAAATGCAAGTTTAGAAGAGAAATTTAAATGCTTGAGTACATATTTTTACAGTGCGCCAGTTTATGCAGAATAAACTTGAAATAAAAAGCAGTAAAATTTGCAAACACATTTTGAAATTATAACATTTGAATGGAATAAAACAACCAACGTTTTGATTTGCAGGTCCTATATGCAATTGATGCATATCGAGAAAACGCCTCGAACGCTGTAAACGTACCCATACCTGGTAATAAGGTAACTGCATCGGTTCGAAGATGTGCACAAGTCAAGTGAAATACACCCTGAGTTCCATTTATTGAAATATGCATCACAAAAAAGAAATGAACTCCATAAAAGCTCAATAGTAAACACACTGTCATTACTCCGTACACACTAGCACGACGATACACTTAGTCCGTGCTGATCAGAATTTGGTCAGGGAAAATATCACAAGTGGAAAGAGAAGTTATTTGGTATTTGCGCGGCTGAAAGGGGGGGGGGATATTATAACTGATGTTCATAAGCTATAATTGTGAATTGTTTATCTACATGTAGTTCTAATTAGTAATATACATTCTATACAAAGTCATGTATAAAGTCTGCAGTTGGTTTGCGTCGCAAAATCCATTTGTCAATTATAACTGATTATTTTAGTACTAATCTCAAATCTAAACAAAGTAATTTGATGTACGGCTATAATTTACTTCAAATCTTAAAAGCAATTAACCATGCAGAATACAAATTTTTATGCGTACATCTATACATTCTTTAAAACATACACACACGGAGAAAGGCCATTCCCTGTTCAGATTGACATTTAGGTATTTGATTTTTTGGACGGGAGGGGGGGGGGCATACAAAAATAATTGACATGACCGGTATTTAAATATTCTTGGAAGACAGACATTTCTGCCGAATTCAGTTTTGAAATTTTTTAAAAATGTGTCACTCCGACCACAAAGTATGTTCATTTTGAGGAATGTAACTGGTTTATGGTGTTACAGAGAGTCTTTCGAGATTTCAGTATCCCTGCCTGATAGTCTAGGTATTTTATATATATATATATATATAAATAATTTCTGTCGGTGAATTTGGGAGATAATTTTAAAAGCTAGGGTAGGGATACTTGACACTGGTTGAATACGGATAATTATTATTTATTCTTTCGTATATTGAACTCTCTCTCTCTCTCTCTCTCTCTCTCTCTCTCTGTCTGTCTGTCTGTAACCCACCTGTTGGGTCAATGATAGGTATAAAATCCTACGCACTTTGTACTGTTCCATTTATTATGCCTTAGGACAGATCAAGGATTTTTTCAGGCGGGATGTCGAAACTTCATAAATTGAATAATAATTTTACTTTGGATAAGAAATTAGCCCAAACGCCCAAATTGAAAGAGAAACTAGACGTACATGTATTCTGAGCAATGAACTCACTAAATAATACCCCCTGCCTCCCATATGGTTATAATGGCAAAGTCCATATTTCGCCAAACCCATACGTATCAGATCAAAAAGTAAAATAGGAGATGCATAATGGTAATATATAGTAATCTTAAGATTCTTTGAAAGTTTCATTAATTTTCTCTAAGTGGTGTAAGAGGATTTGCGGATAAGAGATGGGTACCCCAAAGCGTAACAGACAGACGAACGGACATAACGATTACCTACCACTTTTCAGGCGGGGGATGTAATAAACGTGAAATATAAATCACAGGAATGGGAACATTGGGAACTTTCTCGAACACCTTGTCAAACGTATGTGTCGAACTTGGACAACAGACAAGAGAATTTTTAAAAAGCTAGTTTTAGGTAGAATGTGGAATTCTCACGAGGAGTTTACTCTCTCTTCCTATATGCTTTTTTTAATAATCATTAATTATTTATGTCTAGAAATTTAATTCACATTAAATTCTATTTTCATTATCATTGTACCAAAAAATCAAACTCGTTTATTATACCCCACGCGTGAGGTATAATGTTTTTGACCCGTCAGTCAGTCGTTTTTCATAAACCACTGTACAGAGTTTTGTCGAACTTTGCAGATATTTATAGGAGACAATGTGTGTGTAGATTTGCACATCACCAGGAAATTCCGAATTTTTTATTTTTCGGGAATTTCCGCACTTTAACATTTAGATTTTGGCCATATGTTGAATATAGAGGTGAGCAGTTTGTCAGCGCAACTCCTCATAAACCACTGCAAACAATTTTGTCAAACTTTGCAGATATTTAGGACACAATGTGTATAGATGTGCATATTACAAGGAAATTACGCTTCCTTTATTTTTTTCTGGGAATTTTAGCACTTCGACTTTTGGGGGAGCGTGGGGTATGTGAACGTGCTCACTTTTTCTTTCCTAGTGCATAAAATCAAAAATAACTTTAAATCAAATTATATTAGGTCTAATAGGCCAATACACAGTATTTATTTGATAATAATTGATCATAAAGAAATCCAATCTGTTTCAGACGTTTTTCTTACATTATTTTTATGAGAGTGTATGCATGTTTTATTACACCCCCCCCCCTTCATATCACGGGAAAATATCTTCAAAAGGTGAATGATTCGTAATAATGCCTGCTTTTTTATGAATTTGATGAAGTTAAATCATGTACTTAATCGTAAATTTTATTTACAATATGTACAGACAAGAGTATTGTTTATTTTTGAAAAAAATTACTTGCATTTTTTTTTTCAATCAACCCCACTGAGCTTTCAACCTTTGATATTTTCCCTGACTAAATAAAATGATCGGCATGGGCCATGTGTGTCCAAGCTTCTTTTACTGTTGAGTTAGCAATGGATTACATGACTTCTGAGATGCATTTTTCAATAAAAGTAAAATAGGATAATTCTTTCGACATGTGCACATCCCTGTAACGATAACAGTAGTCAGGTAAATGTTTTTATCACTGCGTTTGACGCGTTTCCTCGACCTGCATGGGTGTTTGATGTACATGTATGTATTCCGTGTTAGTTTATTTTCTATAGTGCAACAAATGCATTCAAAAATAATTTAATTTTCGGTATAGTTCTATTTTTTGTTGAATTTTTACTTTTCAAACATGTATTTGGTCAGTTTATGAACTTCTAAAAACTTTGTTATCGGAGATGTGTGCATGTTGACAGTCAGGCTAGAAAATCACTCAAGTGAAGCAATCGTACAAGGCTATATATAGCAGGTACAGGTGACCAAAAATTTTCAATTAAATATGGCGGAATCGAAGAAATATGGCGGACAAAGGCGTACAGGAATATAGTAAGTCGTACAAAGATGAAAAATGATGGCTTTTTAAGAGTTCATGTCAGCTTTAATATATCCTCATGCAATGAGTTTCAAAGCATTTCATCAAAAAATGTATAAGTTATGGCTTTATTGAATATACGAGGGGTGTTAGAAAAGTTCGCGGACAAGTTCTATTGTGAGCGCGCTATTTTCACGAAATCAGTCAAACTTTTCAGATAAAATCTCAACCTATTTTCCAA